GCTGCTACTGTGAATTTCTACCGAGAAAACTTATTTTGGCCCTACCCGCGATTCGAACCTGATAGACCAAGGAGGCAGTCATATTGTAAGCTTATGCTAAGTCGGTGATTTCTGATTAATTATAAGATTCCTTTGTCTTTTTGTTATATAATTTTGTTTCTTATTCTTTATAATTTGAGTTGTTGTGCCAGTCCGCAATATTTCTGACATAAATAAGGCATTGCAACTCACAGAGCATAGTTAGAATAAGTATATTTATAGGGTGAATTATTTAATTGTTTCCTATTTATCAACCTTAAAAAAATTATGTACTCTTGCACTTACTTGCAGCACTCCACTTTTTTTAGATATTTTTGTAAAAATACTAGCAATTATATTTACTCTATTTGATAACACATTTATGTAGCAATGGTAGCTTAGCCTAAATTTTATAGTAAGCGATAAATTCGACTTGGTAACGGGGCATAAAAGTCCAAAGAAAAGTTACAGCCACATTACATCACTAGATAACTGGAAGATCAAAGAATTAGTTACGTTGAGTGAGGTTGGGAAAACTTCGCCCTTCTGCGGTCGCGCTGCAAGTATTCACTTTAGACATGTATCAATCATTCATTTCTCGTGAACGAATCATTCTAGTACATTTTGTTACGCGTACCGGTACATTCGGATCGATCATTCAAATAGTCATAGTCATAGTCATAGTCATTTATTCCTTAGAACAATATTACATTGTATTGGAAAATTAATTAAACAGAATCAGAAATTACGTTTACATGCAATTGACTTAAATAAAACAAAAATCGAATAAAATTTAAATATCATTTGACAATCATTCTTTATACTTATATACATTCAATACTTTTCATGTCATAATTAAATATTTTTCATGTCATAATAGATTAAAATATAGTACATAAACAAAAAAAAATTAACATTCATTAAGTATATTTTTGTCATTTAGGTATTCGTCAACTGAGTAGTAGCTTTTCTTAATTAATAATGATTTGAGTTTATTTTGGAATTTTCGGTGGCAATAAATAACTTTAAATGAGATAGGTAAAGAATTAAATAGTGCAATAGCTTGATGCCTTGTGCTGTGGCGTACAACATTCAAAGTTGGTGTAATTGAAGTTTTTAAATCTTTTCGACGTGTCATTTCTCTCTTTTTCCTTTCTTCGTTTGTTTCATATTTGTAAAAATTTTTTACTAAGTATGTAAGTGAAACTAAGATATACAGAGAGGGAACCGTAAGTATGTCAAGTTTTCGAAAATGTTCTTTACACGACTCAATTTGTGGAATACGTAACATGGTGCGGATCGCTCTTTTTTGTAATACAAACGCTTTCTTAATATTATATTTATAACTGTTGCCCCAGAATTGTATGCTATAACGAAGTTGTGATTCTACTAGAGCAAAATAAACCAACTTAAGCTGCTTTAACGTAACTTCGTCTCGTAAACTTCTTAAGGCATAGCATGCTGAACTGATAGTAGATTCTAGTGCTGTCATTTCCTTTTTCCATTTCAAGTACATGTCAATGTGGATTCCTAGAAATTTTACTGTTTGAACAGATTCAATATTTTTACCATCAATGTTAATGTTTATTGAGTCCTTTTGTCTTGCTGTAGATTTGAAAAGCATTGCGTTCGTTTTATTCGTATTTAGTAGTAGATCGTTAGTAGCAAACCAATTTTTAAAGTCATACATTGTGCTTTTCATTTTGGTATTTAGTTCGTCTATCGAGTTAGCAGATACAATCGCGTTTGTATCATCCGCATAAATAGTTAACTTTACGTCTTGCTGTTTGGTATGTATGTAAGCAGTTAAATCATTAATGAATATTATAAATAATATGGGTCCCAAAATGGAGCCTTGTGGAACACCCTTCTTTAAGGTTTTCAATTTAGATTTGTATATCGTTTCAACGCCGTCTATTATTGTTTTAATCTCAACAAATTGTTTTCTATTTGATAAGTAGGATTCAAATAACCTCAAGATTGAGCCTCTAACTCCGTAATATTCCAATTTCAGTAGTAGTATATTATGATTTATCGTGTCAAAAGCCGAACTCAAGTCTAAAAATAGACCTCCTACCTTATATTTATCATTGAGTCTACATACTACATCATCGACTAGCGTATTTATAGCATCTATAGTACCTACACGCGTTTGATAACCAAATTACCTCTCACTTAATATATTATTTTGTCGCAAATGTGCTACTAGTCTTACCTTTATCAGCTTTTCATAAATTTTAGATAAAATTGGTAGGAAGGAAATCGGTCTATAGTTTTTGGGGTCCATTTTACTTCCCTTTTTTACGTACCGGAAGTACTCGTGCAACCTTAAGCTGATCAGGAAACAGAGATTGTTCCACACACTTATTGAAAAGATAAGCTAAAGATTCAGCCAATATATCAATATTATCTTTAATAATCTTGATGGGTATTTCATCATAACTATGTGATCTTTTATTTTCCATTTCCTTAACTGTTTTTAAAATTTCATGGCTAGTAATAATCTTAAAAGGCATGTCTGTTACAATTTTCTGCACACTTTGTTTGAGAATCAATTGTGCGGAGATTGTATCACTAGCGTTTTTGCTTAATTAATTAGTTTCACTAAAATGACGTGAGAAAACATTTGCTACATGCTGTTTATTACTTACGATGTTATTGTTTACCTTTAGTAGTATATTCTCTTCTTTTTTTACGAAACGAATTTTTCCTACTTCCATTTACAATATTCCAGATTTCTTTATTAGAATTTAACGCCGACTCAATTTTTCTTTGTATAGCTATTTGTTTTGCTTTTCTCAATATTCTTCTATATATCTGTATATATGACCTTTTATATTTATCTGCAAACACTCCATTACATATTTTAACATTTAATGTCAGAAACCTTTTCATTTCACTTGAAACCCTAATACCTTTAGTGATCCACTGTAATGTATTTTTTTTAGGATGTATTTTTTCTCGTCCTTTTCTTATAACAAGTTTTGAAAGTGTAACTTAATTTATTGAGAAAAGAATTTATTCCTAAATTGTGCCAATTTATTTTGCTAATTTGCTTTCTAAATTCTGCTGCGTTGTGGTCACTTAGAACTCTACGACTAATTTTTATACTTTCATTCATGTTACGACTCATTTTATTTTCCAATTCTACTGTACAAAATAAACCAGCGTGACCGTCTGCGAGACCATTATGCTCTACTCTACTATCAATATTTGTTGTATCTATATTAGTAATTACATTGTCAAGACAAGATTTTACATCATTGCGCAAAAAGGTTGCTGAGTCAATTAAATATTTGAAGTTATAACAAGTCAACAAGTTCAATAATTCATTTTTTGTTTATCATTGTTTAATAAATTAATGTTGAAGTCACCGCACAATATAAATTCCTTATTAAAAAAAATGTTCAGAAAATCGCTCTAATCTTTCCATAAAAAGATCAAAATTTTTCTGTATAGGATTTCGATAGCAACAACAAACATAAATATGTGAGTTTAGGTCTTTAACACCACAAATTTCAAAATGTTCAGATTTATATAGTTTTTTGCAGAAGGCATCTTCCTCACATTTAACATCATTTAAACCCAATATCATCGAACCACCTCGTATTTTGTTTGTTCGGAAATTGTAAGCTACTAATTTATAACCTTCTAATTTAAATATAGGAGCGGAAACCTGAAATGTTCACAAAAACAAACGTATTGTACCTCAGATTTTACAGAATTGATATACAGTTCTATCTCATATTTTTTATTTGTTACACCACAGACGTTTTTATAGAAAACATTCATTGTTTTTTTTTTTTGGGCAGCTGACTTATTGTATTATTATTGACGAAAAAGCGAAATGCAACTCTGAGGCGGAATATCCTCAGTTTGAGTGCCTGCAGTGCACTTCATATTATTAGCTGTTTGAATTACAATGCAAGGAGCATTTGCCCTCATAGTATTATTATTATTATTATTCGAGCTGCGTAGTTTGGTTATAAAGTTAATATAGTTTATTTTATATGTCACTCTCAATATTTCACGAAGAATTAGTTTTGCAGCAGTATTTAAATTTTTATACCCACGACCATCATTTTGAGCATTATTATACATCAAGGGCACAAAAGACGCATGACTGAAGCTTTTACAAATCCACTGAACTAGGTTATTTAGCTTTGTTTCATTAAAATAATATTTTTTTTGAATTTCACATACAACAACATTTGTACATTTAATTTGGTGTAACGTATAATACAAAAATGATTGAAATTCCATTAGATCATTATCATTTGAACCAACAAGTATAATTACATAATCCTCCTTAGTAAAGTCCATGCAGAGAGTATTACATGAATTTAATAATTCATTCAACTTTGCATTCGGCTTTAAAAAACATGTAACATGATAATCATTCCCTAGTAAACTTTGTAATTTGCTTCTCAAACCGCGACCTGCTTGATCTGACAATATCATGACTCGATGTTTGATGTTTTGTTGAGTGTGTGAAGTTCGAGTTTCGTTGAGCGAACTTGCTATAGCGCCACGTGACCTCATGCAAGGTGCGTTTATACCCGAAGCAGTGTTCTTAATCGGTGTGCTGTTTCGTGTATTTGAGATAGATGCCATCCCTTCAATCGGTTTGTAACAGCTTTGAAGGTTATCGATCATTTGGGATACATAATGGATCATTTGGGGCTCCAGTACGCTACACTAAAAACAATTCGTTCAGATCATTCAGGATTCGATCGGTTTTCGATTCATTCACAATTCACACCAATCACGAGTTAAAAAGGTTCCGTCAACTTTTTGCGATTGGTTGTACCGGAACATTCAAAATCAAAATGAACCATCAATACTTTTAAGAGTCAAACTAACGAATTTTCATGATTGACACATGTTTAATTCACGTAAAGCACACAATTACCAGGACACAGCTGCATCGCGATTTTATATTCAGTTTATTACGAAAATTTACCTTACTTAAACAAATTTACTTACTTAGGTTGTATAAGATGAAACGGCATTTTTCTTACAGCCTCTTCTGCTAAGTCTAGAGGAAAGGCGAATTCTATCATATTCTCGTTAAGGCAATCATTATACGTAGACGCCAGCTGGCATCTGTCTAACATCCCTTCTATACTGTCCAGACAAAGTCTTGAAATGCTGTGGAGTTTTCGCACTACACGAGAGTTTTTACCATTTACCAAACCAGCTAAATGTATTAGTAAGTCTCTATTGACCTGTAAAAGAGTATTAATTAGTAAGAAAAATGCATGTACAATATACCTATACATAATAATAGTAATAATTAGGACCATATCCATTGTAGGGAGGTACCAATCGCTGTACCAAAAGTATTTGGCGTTGCTCTCGGGCCTTGGTCAGGCCTCGGACACTCCTGCTGCCAGCGTGTAATAAATAACCTACAATCGCGAGAGTACCCGAGTCACATACGCAGTCGGAGCTAGCGATTTGTAGGCGATTAAATGTTAAAGTTTTTGAACGTTGTCTACGTAAATAGTTTTTTGCAAATACTTGTTGAAATTGTTTTTGTTAAGTATTTGGTATATTTAGTTGTAGAATAAAATGGTTGAAAAAGTTTTAATGTAATTTAAAATATTAGGTATATTACCTATCTATTTGATAAATTATATTAGCAAAACGTGGTTTCTATTATAATTGCTACGTAGATGGATGTTAAATGACCAACAAAAGGTTTCAGATATATCATAATTTTAGTTACCCAAGGATTTCATTAGTAAAAAGTTATGAAAGGTGAATTTATTTCATATTTTTATTAGATAGGTACTTATAGCAAAAAATAGGTAATAAGTAATTTAACTACAGAAGTAATACTTAAGTACTTTATTACAAAACTTAGTTGAAACTTACATCACTATCCAAGTATCAAGTTACATATCTATACCTACTTTCTTGCTACTTTTTGTAATTAAAATATTTTTAGTTATAATAACACAAATATACATAACACATACATATGTATGTATGTATGTACTCATTCATTCTTTCTATATGATCAAACCACCGAAGCATTCCTTTCTTAATCCTGGTCACAACATCATCTTGCATAGCACATTAATTTATCTCTTATCACGCAATTTCTCACCTTGTCATTCAGATTCAACTCTAGCATACTCCTTAAAGACCGTATTTCTACAGCATTTATTCTACTTTCGTGCTTCTTCTGCCACACCCAACTTTCACTACCATACATTAAAGTAGGGACTAACACAGCGTTATGAATTACCATACGTGCCTTTTTTGACACATTCAGTTTCTTTATAATAGAGTGTAGTGCCCTATTCACGCTATTCCCTGCATTACATAACAAAAAATACTGAAATTAAAACTTTTTTACTAATAATATTTTTAACTAATTAGAATACAATCATTTCTGTTAGCCAAGTTCTTCCGAGACAAGCATCGCGATTTCCAACGAATGGCCCTCAAGTTTCATGCGTTGGGCATAACAGAATTCACATATGCGAATACGGTCAGTCAATCATATTCAGAATAGGTACTTCACCTAATTAACTTACCTTTTCGCAGTGTATTTTTTTACTCTTTATTGACAGCTCCTAGTAACCAGGGAAAGTCCGCCGTGACGTAGGGAGGGGTAAAGATGCAAAGTAAAGCGGACACTAAAGTTTTATTTAGATTGCGTGATTTATCTAATAAATAAGTTTAATATGGGCTATTAAACGTCGGTAAGAAGTCAACATCAAAGGCTCTTCTGTACGTAGTACTATTATTTATTCTGTGCCCTGGTTTGTTTGTCATCCATTTACTTATTCTTTGTATTCTATTAAGTCCACTGATGAACAAAGGCCAAGCATTTTGTTAGTGGGATTTTTTTGTAGTGGTCACGCTTTTTAGGCAAGTTGGCAATGACAGCTTTTTATTATTTTCAGTTGTGATATGGAAGATACTGCTGCCCCTCACCTTCTTTCAGTTTTACTTTGTCGCCTCTTATGACTCCTACAGGAACATATGGGCTATTGGATATACTTCAGCATTACTGTTGCTGTGTAGTGGTGACGTAACTTCGTCCTTCCTGAATTTATTATTTATTTTATTTATTCACACTATTTTGTGTTCACCTTATAAATAATAGTAACAAAAGGCAACGCGAGGAGAATTAAATGCTTATCAGTTAAAAAGCGTACTTAAAAGTTTTTTTTATTTAATATCTGGCCTAATTTGGATTGGAGAATTACTAATAATTTGTACAAATATTTTACAGAAAACACAAATATTCTTATAACTCACGGTGGAGTAACTAGGTACTACCATCGGTTACTTATTTCAAGGACACTTTTTTTTAAAATTCGAAAGAAGGAATGTAACTTAACGATACCTTGCCATGATTAATAACATCGCTTTGCTCTAGCATGCACGCAGCAAAACATTGTCCAGACCTAGTGACAGGCGGTGAGTTAGTAAAGTAGGCTCTGACATCTTTAGGAGTAGCCCTGACTTTAATAACACAGGACTGTGCCATACGAACCAGTGCATCAAGGTGTCCTTGTACCTGTAATGAATTTATGGAAACCATATTATTTACAAAAGAAATACGGTAAAATAGAGAAAAATATTACTTTAAATTAAAAAAATGTTTATTGCAATAAAAGAAACTAATTTGTTATAACTCTGGCATCATTTTATCGCTTAGTGACTTTATTTAGCCTTTGGACGACGAAAGATCCAAGTCTATTGTCTCAAGCGGCGCCAACCAGTCGCGAATACAGTTTCTTTAGAAACTTAACTGAGGACCTCACGGACAGCTAGTGTCTACAATAGATGACACAAATTTCGGATCTACAAAGAATTGTTGTCTCGAAGAGTTCATGTCTCTATAAATATTCGGATTTGAGAGCCTTATGGAATATTCAGAGACAATGGCAGAAGACCCAAAGGTATGACTTTGATCAGTTGGGAAAGAGGTGAAGACCTGGTGTGGGATGTTGCGTACGTTGACTCTTTGATAACCTCTCATCTCAAAAGTATTTGGCTTAGAGCCGGTGCGTCATCAGAGGCAGCTGAACGAAGATAGTTGTGCGATTTTTGTAGTGAATATCGGTCTGTATGCACCACGTGCGGTAAAGATCTTAAATCAACTGTTTCCGCGACTTGTCATCGCCGCTGGTGATAAGAGGGCTAGCTCTTTTTTCGCTCAAAGGTACATATAGCCATTCAGCGAGGATACGCCCGATTCTTGGCACTATATCGCGGGGTTAGTTTTTAGTTTCAGTTTTTTTTTAATCTGGAAATAAAATTGTATATTGGAATGTTACATTAATAAATGATTATATTACTCGAACCAGCTCCTCATGAGCACGATTTATTATTAAACTAGAAGTATGAAAACGACCATAAACGTTTCAATAAATTTCTTTAGTATCCTTACATAAAATTTGAACGTAGTATTATACAGGAGACGCTTCATTAAGCTTTATTATTCGAATTTTTTGAGAAAATCGCACCAAAACATATCAAGTAGGTATTAATCTTTACGCTATTTTAATGACAGATGCAGATTTATGACTTTATTTTCTGTTACTTATGCTACTTGTTGCTCTAACATCTTGAATAATATCATTAATATCATTAGACTTTTTAAGTTTACTGCACGACACAGGCCTACTTGGAGAATTTCTCATACTTTACACAGCCGTTAGCCATTAGCCGGTCTATAGACTTGTTTATCAATAAGGAATGTAGCGGAACCTTTTTTATAGAGTAAGAAGCAAACGCGTATGCGTCTCACGTGATGATAAGTGATCACCGCTACACCTTAACATCTGAAACATTAGAGGAATTGAAGATGTTCATGCGTTGCTCATCTTTTAAAGGAGTGAACTAGCTTTAGGAGTTAGCTGTTTTCTTAAAGGTGACAATGGTAACTTTTCTACAAGTAGCTATCCTAATTTATATATTCCAGGACAATCATTTTTTCGAAGAGGCATTTCAAATAACAACTTTCAAATAGAAAGAATACATTATTAAAGAATATATTTCTGTGAATGAGTTACCTTAGGGTCCGTGAAATCCACCATCGTTCCGGAAAATGTAGATGGTCGCAAAGCTAGCACGTGAGTCAATAGAAAGCAAATGAATATTTTCATCGAGAACATTCTAAAACAAATACTTTACTTTATTATTAACGAGAATTAAAACTGTACATAGTCGAGTGGAGATTGGCAAATTCACCTGACAATTTTGTCGTTAGAAAAATATAAAAACCTAGAAAGATTTCATTGCCTTTTCCGGTTGGCAGTATAGCTATTACATATCATCTTCATATCAGCACACCAAAAGTAATATAACGACAATCACTATAGTTGCCACGCTTAGTAGGCGCATTGTAAACTGCAGTTTTTATAGACATCGACGTTAGACTCTCCACCTCCTAATATAGTCCCATGGGAGCCATAAGGGGGCGAAAAATGGAAACTAGGAGGGAAATAGGAGATGGACGGCAGAATCTTCCTGACAACAATTCAAAATTTCGTATATTATGTTACTTTAAAATACCTAGATACATGTAAATATCTAGTATTGCGATCACCGGTCCACCATCAAGGGGACTAAGGTAGATCGTTCCCACAAATCGAGAGTCTTATTAATTTGAATTGCAATAATTTAAAAGACTTTACCTGCTAGTCCAGATGTCCGTCAGTACAATTTACTAAATATCACGAGCATTTACAAATCCAGAAAATATATACAAGAATAACACTGAGTTTCCTAAACAAAGAAATACAAATTCTCAACAAAGAGAAAATAACACAGTAAATTAAATAAGTGACAAATAATTTTTTTTAATAAAAATAACAATGCAATTAAATTGCACGCAATTTTAAAACCTGCTAGTGGAAAAACACACTATTAAATTGTGGCTTGTCAGCAACACTGGCAACACTGTGCTTAGCAATTTCAATGCACTTTCTGTGGAACACCGCCGGCAGCTTCATTTATTAAAAGAAAAGTTAAAAAGTTGAGATTGTCGCGAAACAATTCCTATTGTTTGAATGCTTGCTGCTTGTTTGCTTTTGTTTTCGTCACCAAAGTCGAACAGATATTTTAACACTTAAAATACGTACGTAAACGTAACAACATTGATTGAACGATCACATTGCCTAGTAGTTACTTGATATGACTCCTAACTGGATCCTATATTTGTACAAAAACACAAACTTCGAAAAGTTAATTTTTTTGTCTAGATGTATTCAAATCAAATCAAATCATTTATTTTGCTAAAACATGGGTACAGAAGTATGGATACAGAGTCAATATTTCTTTCCACATGTTTTGCCTTTTGTGGCATGGCACGTAAAAACTGTTTAAAATAAATATATTAAAAAACAAATTAGAAATAAACACTTATAAATTTTCTTTTTCTTTTATAAACACTTTATATTTATGTTTTTAGGAAAACATAACAAAATTAGAAAAAATAATTTTTGTTCATTTGAGAAGTATCACGCAAAATCCTGGATCTATAGTAAATAAATAAAAATAAAATCAAAATTTATGGTTAAAGAATTCATTGATATTATAAAAGGCAGTATTTATTAGCCACTGCTTTAAACTTTTTTTCATTCGCCTTAATGGCTGTTCACGAATATTTTAGGAACTTTATTATTATTTACGATTAGTTTAATAAATATATTATTGTCATGATGCTTGAATTTTCGAAGCTGAATCCAAACATACATACTTTCTTACAGCGTAAGTGTTAGATCATGTACGCTATAGTAAATTAAAATGAGAAGTAATAAAATGCTAAGACGAAATAAAATTTGATTAGCCACAAACAAAAAAAACAGTATTTATACCGTTTGGTTAATTAATAATTACCATTCAAAGTTTCTGTTTGCAAAAAAAAAAAAAACAATCGGCCATTCTTATTTCGCAAACATTCTCGATAATATTTTAGTAATTTAATCATAAATAGTAGGCAGCTAATAATAATATGAGTTTGACTAATAAATAGGCTGCATTTCCCGTAGCGGCGAAGCACTTGCAGAAGCATCATTGAGTCAATCATCATCATCATCATCATCGTCATTACAGACCTACATAAGTCCACTGCTGAACATAGGCCTCCCCAAGGTATGCCACAAAACACGGTCCTGAGCCACCTGCATACATCAACTTCCTGCATGTTTTACCAGGTCGTCATTTAATCTAGTGGGGGGTCGCCCTACACTTCATCTACCGGTACGAGGCTGCCACTCGAGAACCTTTTTTCCCCAACGGCGGTAGTCGATTCTTCGAGTTATATGGCCGGCCCATTGCCACTTCAGCTTACTAATCTGTTGGGCTATGTCGGTCACTCTGGTTCTACTGCAGATATCCTCATTTCTAAGTTTATCACGCAGAGAAAAGAAATTTGCCCTCTCCATAGCTCGCTGAACGACTTTGAGTGTCCTCATACGGCCAGCAGTGAAGGACCAGATTGATTGAGTCAATATTTCTATGTAAAAAGTGAGGTTACGAATTTACAAAAAAATCATTACTTATAAAATGTATATTACCGCGACGGATCCCCGAATAACGGGGAAGTTTAGGGGGCTCCTGCATCCCCACCCCGTCCATATTATTATTAAAATTTTATAAATATGGGTCACTCCTTGCAGCTTATATAATTTATTTGCTGTACTAAAAAAACTACAATCGTTCAGAATGTCAAAAATTGCCGATTAATTTAATAATGTTTGCTAGCCACGGTTAGCTGACTATCTATTTCTGCTGCTGAAAGATGAATACGGTGCTAACCCTTGAAATAACACCCAATTTAAGTTAGTGTTTATAAAAAATTGCGGGGTTATAATAAACTTTATATAATTGATAACTTGCATCTTAAGAGGTTCTGGCTAGTGCTCAAATTCCACAGAATAACATTATTAGTAATAGGCCCAAAACAATGAAGAATGAAAGACATAACACTTTGTACATTTCAAGTGACGTTTACACGCACTCCCCTACAATATTTTTACTTATTTGCTTTTTATACCGTAAAAGTACACAGTAGTGTACTTTTACCGTATAAAAAAATATTGCATCTAGTAGGATGCACGCATTTGCCACCTTAAACAATGATGTTGTTTGTCAAGTCAAGATGTTTAAGTGTGGGTGAATGCATGAAATAATAATAAATTGTGTATAGGTTTCGGCTTAGTTTTGGCGTTACATGCAATATGCGTAGTGTGCTGTCGATATATATTTGTTGGCCTGAGGTCATAGATTGTTTATTTACTTATTATGTTTGTTTTCTCGTATTTTTGTTTATGAAAATAAGTCAAGACGTCATCATTCATTGCTGGCGGCTTGATGAAATGCAATATAATCTATGCATATAAATAAAATTGAAGTGTATGTCTGTAATATGAAAAAAAACTGCCTTATGTTATTTCCATGTCATTAAGACATGAATGTCTGTCTGTCTGTCTAAATAGCTGAACTGATTGTGATGAAACTTCACTAACAGGTAAGGAGCAACGTCAGGAATGATCTGTGCTATATCTCATCTGAAAACTTGGAGAAAAAATTAGTAAAATAAAATAAATTTTTGACTATCTTCAATCTTAGTAATGCCACATTAATAGATCCCACACAGACGAAACTAGGGCAGGTCACTAGTTCAAAAATAAGACGATATTGGAATAAGAGAAAAGTGCTTGCAATATAAAATTAAAATAAACCGACCAAATTTAGAGGTCACGGTTAAAAGCAGACGATCGCAGTTGTTTACACCGCCGTGAGTCATGTAATGAAAGCATTACTCAGTACAAAGTGATATGGTAACCAATTAAACATAGGTATAATTAAATGATTTACAAATAATATAAATGTCCACGACGTTCGGGTAAGCCCTACAATATACTTCACAGAAACAAAAAAATGGGCAGTAAACTTGCTTGATTTGATCGAGTTTTAAATTTCTATCTTCATTATTAGAAAAATCGTGGGGCGCTATAGCCAATGAATATGCATCCATTTGTATCCTACTCTAACGTGGTGGAGCCATGTTGCAGCTATATTATGTTTTGAGAATGAATGGATCCGTTTGACCGGGGAAGAACAACGTTCTCATAGAATACCAGCAAAATAGCAGCATTGAGCTGGATATTGTACGTTTTTTTTTTCGTATGATGATTGTAGAGAACCGGAGACACTTTTTACTGGAAACGAGGCATTCCATCTTAGTCCTCAGAGGCGATAAAGCAATATGCACTTTGATTTATATTAGAAGATAAATGTAGATGTCTACGGGCCACATTATACACTTAGTGTCAGGTGGACTGTGTGCTCGTTTGTCACCCTTATTATTTAAAATATCCTTTACAGGAGTCTATTTTTAAGTTGATAAAACAATGACGATGTTGATAATGATGAAAGCTTTTATTTTAAGAATAAAACAAAAAAGTATATAAAAGTACATAACATGACATAACATTACAGTGCCCATATTGCATTCTATATTATTTTATTATTAATGCAAAACATATAACCAGCATTGTTAAAAATAGTAATAAAAATATTGTAACGTTAATTTAAAGTAACAGGGCTTAAGAAACAACGGGGCATCAATTGTAATTTCTTCACTCTATCATTATTGTACATCGTATTAATCGTATTACTTTGATAGATTAACAAACACGAAGATATATCATAAATAAATATTACCTTTTGTAGAATTACAGTTTTGTACTTTCCGTATTGTGGGAACGTAAGAAAATCTATTACCCTATTTCATTCCACGGATGTCTTAAGAGGTGACTATAGGAAAGGGACATATATCTAGTTTTAAAAAGAATATATATATATATATATATATATATATATATATATATACCTTAATATACATAAATTACGTGTCACGTTGTTTGTCCGCGATGAACTCCTAAACTTCTTAACCGATTTTAATCAAATTTGCACACCGTGTGCCGTTTGGTCCAACTTGAGAGATAGGATAGTTTTTTGCCTATAAGTGGCCCACAATTTTTTTTGCGAATTTATGGATTTTTAATAGGACATGACAATGGGTAGTCGAAAATGGCAGAACAACACCTGCCTGGCAACCTGGTATATATATGTGTGTGTGTGTGTTTGTATACATGTTACTGTG